CTCCCTCGTCCAAGTCGCTGATGAAGACATTAAAGAGTATTGGTCCAAGGACCGAGCCCTGCGGGACCCCACTTCCCACACCCTTCCAGGTCGAAGCTGACCCATCCACTACGACTCTCTGGGTGCGACCCTCCAGCCAATTCGCCACCCACCGGACTGTGTAGTCATCCAAGTCACAGCCTCTTAACTTGTTCACCAGTATGGGGTGGGATACCGTATTGAAGGCCTTCCTGAAGCCTAAGTATACGACATCAACCCCTACTCCTGTGTCCAGGCGTTTTGTAACCTGGTCATAAAAAGAGACTAGATTGGTCAGGCACGATCTGCCTGCCACGAACCCGTGCTGGTTTCCCCTCAGCATAATTTGTCCTGCCGGGCTCTCGCAAATGCGAGCCTTGATAATTTTTTCGAAGACCTTGCCTAGGATGGAGGTGAGACTGACTGGCCTATAGTTGCCCGGGTCCTCCTTCCTCCCCTTCTTGAAAATGGGGACTCCCATGTAAAGTGTAGACAGGACTCCGGCGCCGCTGCGTCTCCCTCCCCAAGACTCAGCCCTGCCTTGGCCCTTGCAGGTTGCCGCCCCTTTCTCAAGATCTACCAGGCCATGCAGCCCGTCTACACCTCCGGCATCTAGTAAGTAGCCCCCAACGTGGGGCTAAGGCCCCCCCGGCTCCAGGGTGGATGGGGTCTTGCCTGTCCTGTATGGGGCAGAGCCGTCCCGGGCCTGATCTGGCCCCAGTGGCATGGGTTCAAGCCCCGCTCTCCCCTCTGTGCCCCCAGCAACGTGCAGGGGGACAGCCAGACCAGCATCTGCATCACCATCGAGCCCGGCCTGCTCCTGAAGGGCGACATCCTGGTAAGCCGGAGCCTCCCGTGCTCGGGGAGGTGATCTGGCGACGCACACGCCTGGGGGCTGGGGGGGGCAGGGAGTTTGGGGAGGGGAGTGGGGGTGTCCCTGGGGCTGATCCCTGCCCTCTGCTCTCCCTGGCCCAGTTGAAATGCTACCACAAGAAGTTTCGCAGCCCGACGCGGGACGTCATCTTCCGCGTGCAGTTCCACACCTGCGCCATCCACGACCTGGCCGTCGTCTTCGGCAAGGACGACCTGGACGAGGCCTTTCGAGGTAGCGTGGGGGAATGGGCCACGGGCTTGTCTCCAGTTTCATGTCCCCCGCTCCACCCAGGTCCATCCATGGCAGGGAGGAAGGTCCGGCATCTCCGCGTCCCGGCGGCCGGAGGGGCTGGGTTTGGTCCTGCATGGATGCTGCGTCTCCACCTCAGGGCCCTCCCATGCATCCGGTCCCCAGTAGACCTGGCCGAGCTCTCGGCCACCGCCACATCCGGGCGCCACGAGTCTCACGCTGACGCCGCGTTCTTGTTGCAGACAACCGGTTCCCGGAGTACGGGAAGGTGGAGTTCGTCTTCTCCTACGGCCCGGAGAAGATCCAAGGTGGGCGCCGTTCCCGGCTCGCATTGGGGCACATGGGGTGTGGGTCCTGCTGTGGGGCTGGGACGCCTGCACAGGGTGACCCCAGGGTAGGGGTCCAGCCGGCGTGCCCGGACGGCTCTGCCTCCTTTGCCCCAACGCCGCTGACTTCCCCTTCTCGCCCGCCGCAGGCATGGAGCACCTGGAGAACGGCCCCAGCGTCTCGGTGGACTACAACACCTCGGACCCCCTCATCCGCTGGGACTCCTACGAGAACTTCAACGTCCGGCGCGAGGACAGCACGGAGGGTGGGTGCTGCGTCGGGGGTCGCACGTGCTGCCTGGGGAGGGGGTCTCGGGGTGCTCTCTGCAGCTGGGGGGGCTGGCATGCAGATGTCCCGGGGGCTTCGTGGCAGAGATGCGTCCCTTCGGTGTGCCCTACATCCCCCGTGGGGCAGGAGCAGCCTGTCTGGGTGGCCCGACCCAGCCTCTCCCGCAGCCGGGGTGCG